ACTTTAATGCGCTCAGAAATGAATAAATAACGCGATAAAGCGAACCAGGTCACTGGACAAAGTGTTTTTTAAACGATGTTTAAATGTATTTCAATTCTTCTGTTAATAACACGTGGCCAGTAATAATCATAACGTCGACCGTAATTGCAGTTACTCGGAAAAATATGCGACGCGATGTATTCAATTTCGGAGATTAATGATGCGATTAATTGAAACTCGAACAATGCAATTTTTCATTTCGGTTTACCGGTTCTACATAAATGGTGCATCGGATTTCCAATTTCTGTTATCTTATCGCCGATTAACACTATGAAACGCAGCGATTCCCATCGAAGCGAACCAACTTTCTCTTCTTTCGTGGCTGTTATTTTGAACATAAATGTTTTAATGATAAATTTAATGGGAAAAAGAATTTTACGTCTCGGAGAGTTAATAAATAACGGTTTCGTTTAGTCGTCTTATGTATCGGTAGTTTAATTATACCTGAAACGATAATGCCTCTAAAAATGTTACACGAACATAAATTATTCGAAGCAGACCCGAATGCACTTGAAGTAAGAACAAGCGAAATGTTATTTCAGATAACACCTTGTTTTATTTCACAACTGTTTCGTTCCAGAAGTTTTGTTATTTTTCTTTAAGGAATGGTTTCGCAAACAATTATCTTATACTTAAAGTATTGCAATAACGAAATAAAGATTGAATTATTTCTAAGATAATAAACATTACATGAACATAAATTATTTGGAGCGGTCCTGAATGCACTTGAAATAAAAATATGTAAAATGTTATTTCACATAATAATTTTAGAATCTAAGAATAGAGTTTTGTTATTCTTCTGTACGACATGGTTTCGGAAACAGTTGTTTTCTATTTAAAATAATGTCGTAACGAAATAATGATTTAAGTATTTTGAGGGTAATGAATAATTAACGAAAGAATTAGCGAGAAAATATTGAATTATTCAAGCACAACTTGTGTCTCAATCGTATCGCGATTATTGCGTCGCCACTGTAACTTCATACATATTTGTCGCGTTCTCGTTCAACTTTCATTCAATGAATTTCAACGAAGAAGTTTTCTTTGCTCAGTTTTTATGCACGAAAAGGGTCTTAGTTAATTTCGTATGCATCTCGAACAAGGTTCTTTAAAAATGCTAAACACACGTGATAAAACAAAACCGACATCGTTGGAAACTTGAAGTTACTACTCGACTATTCGAAATCGGATGCGTACGGTAAACGTTCGTAATATTCGTTGAAATTTTTCTAATTACAGATATAATAATAAATATCATAAACTGTTGATAATATCATTATTTATCATTAACCGTTAGATATCATTAACCTCTTAATTACTCGCATCATAAGCATATCGCATCAGAAACGTTAGTAATATTACGTAGATATTATTATAAATTATTGTTACATAAATATTACATAAATATTATTACGAATTATTATAAATTCTTATTATATAAATATTACACAAATATTATTATGAGCCATAACTTAATACAAGCATGCGATACTTTCTTAAATGCTTTCCAACGGGCGAACAACGATTTCCAATTTTCTAATCGCAAGATTCTAAAATCTCTGAAAGTCAGAAGGTTAATGCAGGAATACTTGACAATTCTAATATTAGCTGCCTGCCATGTAGACGACCCGGGTTCACTCTTCAACAATGATTATCGTCTTTCATGGCACGATCTAAATGGATCAACGCCCACTCTGTCGCTATGTTGGAATCCTTAACGACTAAAAAGCTCCGCTAATCACAATGCAGGATGTATATACGTGTAATGCATTGTCATCAATGGCGACAATCGTTTCTCTCAAGGCGCCTTCCTTCTACATACTTCGGCTTATTGAGCTCAAGGCAGCAAGACGTCTCGGTGCAAATTCTATCTCAGAGACGTGCACACGTGCGCACACACTCTGGAGCTAGACAGGAACAAAATTTTCCATAGATTTTATTAGAAACATTTAAAAGCTACGCGTCGAACATCGGAACAGCTATTGTTTCTTTATGAATTGATGATATCTCCGTTTTCTTTGGTATCGATCTTCTCTCTGAATCGATTAAAATATGATTTATCTGTCTCGAAATATTTATCTCTCGATATAATTCATTAAATAATTCAGTTATAACGATTGAATGAAGTTTGTTTATGAAAATATTTCGTTTCAGATTTCTCGTGAAGTTCGAGGAATTATAACGATAGCGATGAACAGAACGATCTTCGTTCAGATTCAAATTTTTAAGAATCCGCTTAGAGAAACAGAATTACGATAAACCATATTAGGTCCATTGGAAGGTTCTGTCTGATAGTGTCATCTGTAGTTTCCAAAGATGAGTCATTCTACAGAAATGGAATTCGCAATTTGTCATTATACTGGAAAGGTCATTAGTAACGATGGAAATTATATTGCTCAGTAAATATTAATATTGAGAATGTATTAGTCTTTTTAATTAAAAAATGGAAAAAACTTTTTGGTTAACCCAATAGTTTTTATAAATAAATATTATAAAGAGCAATGCACTTTGAATATTTTATGTCTTCTCGTTTCGTATTTTTGTACTGGAAATTTCAAAGTGCAAAATTTCCAAAATCCACAAAAATCTGTAATCTAGTGATGAGTCGTAATCATTTCTTTTATCTTATCTTCATTCGAGAAGGATGTTTACGGAATTTTGGTAGAAGAATGACTGAGCAACGATTGAATAAGAAACTGTTTCTAATGAAGTAGGTGTCACATTGATTGTTTTGCTACGTTATTTATGTAATACGTAAAAGAAAAGATTTATGTAAGATTTTTACAAGTTGCTTTCAAATGATGAATAAACTTTGAAACTCAACACAGCATTTTACGAAGAATACAAAGTCTCTGTTTATTTTATATATTTTTAAATTAGTCCAGAAAGTCATGAATTTGCACAGCCACGTGTGTTTTCGCGATTACGTATTCAAATAATGAAATTATATTCAAAATGTGCACGTTAAATACCTCGAACTGCCTTTAATGTATTCAAACCTTGTCTTCAAACCTTGAAAACATTTTAATTTTATTTACTAACAGTTTTTTCTATGATAAACCTACGATGAACCGTATTTTATTCTATTGTCACAATTCAGGTAGGACGAACCGCGGTGAATCGGATCGAAATAAAAATCCAATCCACATTGTTACATCGCAAATTACGTTTTTCATATTTTGTTTCCTGTGTTACTCGAAAATTAAAGAATTTTGTAATAACAAAAGATGAAAGAGAATTCTATATTGATAATAAACAGTAAAAGAGAATTTTACATTGGTTGTTAAAAATGAATAAGAACTTTACATTAATAATAAATAAATGAACGAGAATGGTACATCAATGATAAAAAATGAAAATGTCTCAGCATTTTTATTTCTCCGCTGTCAAATAGAAAATGATCCGATTTGCCTCGATCAACCCCAGATATCTATACCGATCTCTAAATAATACATTTTAATTTCTGCAAAGGTCCTCAGGCTTTATTGTACCGTCAATATTGTCTTCGTTACTGTAGATAAACGTTTGGCGACACTTTTCGGCGGATTATCGCGTGTCCCGAACTAACCACTTTTATTGCCGTGACATTGAATGTCTTCGTGTTTATCATTGTGGCAGCGTAGAACCGCAATGTCATAATATTCCAATCCGTGATGCGCCGACATTGTCACGATATTAACACCGATTCGACTTTTAGCGATGTCAGCGTTGAAGTCGATATCACAAACCACAAGGCTGAGACGACATTTTGTCGAACGACATTATAATACAGTCTCGAAAGTTTTACATAACCTGCACTTATTGCATAAGTTTCACCGTTCGACGTGAGAACATGCTGGACGTCGCGCAGTGGCCATTTTAGCCATTTGGCGAAAAGTAAAAGCAACCTTATATCGAATTTTTTTGACAAACATTAGCTACACTGTTTTGATTAGTTTATGAAGATAGACATTGATTAGTTAGACAATTTTGATTAGTTTACGAAGATATTGTACACCAATCGCTGTTATAATTATAAAAAGAAGTCGTCTATGTCTCATTAAAATCTTCATTAACTCATTTTTCCCTAAAATGGATTTATACCATTTAAAAAAACGGTTCATATGATGATGTATAATAATACCTTGTTCTTCACACATTCTAACAGGTTATAAGGCACGGAATATACAAATTAAAAGACAAATATTATTCACTTACCTTGATTTATAATTAGATATTATCTTCTGTTATTGTAGGGCAAAAGTAGACATAGAATATGCATAGAATTTTTCTCTTTTTTCAATAAATTGTTAGTGACAAAGTTGTTGTATCGATCACAGTTGAAAAACAGATCGCAGGGCAAGGAGTTAACGTACGTTTTGATTGAAGAAAAATCGTGTTAAAATCAGAACTTCAGAATCGGCCGCCCCCATTTGTATCTGACGTAACAATGGTACACATGAATGGATCCGTACAATGTATTCGAGGTCCCTGTACTTTACGGTCAATAATCTCTAACGTACCGAATGGAGAATGCATTGCAAATCTGCGACACAAATCATAATTGGATTTATGTGACTTTTCTGCGCTTCATTGCAATCTGCACTAGATAAAGAGTTGCTGCTCTATTACAATGATGACATTTGAAATAGTAGAAACTGAGTATTTCAAAATTTTCTTGTATTTAGACAATTATAAATTATAAGAGATATGCGAAACATATCAATGAAATGCGAATAATTATTAAATTTTCATTGTACATCTTCTAACCTGTGTAACTCGAAATATACAGTTGAAGCATGATATTCGATAACATTTTCTGTTATATGAAATTGTTACTATTACGAAAGGTTCATAAGATTGATTGTGTTGTATTCTAATAATAAATCCTTTCTGTTTTCAAAAATTAGTCCATAACATGCTGTCGTTGAACACATTGACGACCTGATCAATATATTGATCCAGATTGATGTTTGTTCCAGGTGTACCATTGGCAGAGTCAAAATGTCAAAGTGTCTGGGGTGGACGACATGGTTCTACTTCCGAAAATATCGGAAGAGGCCATCATTGAAAATCTTCGGAAAAGATATATGGACGACTACATATTCGTATCCTTTTTTGCTCGATTTTCCAAAAACCAGGGACTTTCAGTTTAGGACGACGTTAAAAATCAAAACAGCGTGATTTCGAAATTATTTTCAATTGATTTTGTAATTGATATTTAAAAAGATATAGAAGTTTCATGTTTTTAACAGAAATAGTCGTATCGTACGGCAGTATCTATGAACTATGAATGCAATTTTCAAACAGTCGCAGTCACGTTTTCATTTTCACGACCATTGATCTGAATTCGTTACCTTAAAAGGTTTCTTCTCTTCTTCCTCGGAACATTCGTAAGACATCACAAAAATGCGTGGCATCGATTCAGCGCACGGTAACTTCCTTCATTGTAAAATGTTAAAACTGCAATTGAATTTAAAATTTATCTGGAAAATGTCGAGTTTATTTATTTTTCCTTTACGTTAATTGAAATTCGATATCAAAAATAATCACGCAAACGTTCTGAATATTTTTCATATAAAACATATTACTTATTATTTATTTATTTGAACGGCTACATTTAAAAAAAAAGCAAGAAAAAAATGTGATGTACAGCAGTGAAAATCTTAATTCTTAGAATCAAACTGTTGTTCTTGAAGTTTTTATTCTCAAAGAAACTTTCCTATTTCTTTACATCAACCAAAATGATAATATCACATTACCTACCCAATATAAATTGTAAATTATCAAATGCTATTAAATCTTTGCCAATAGCAAACAATTAACAAAATCATTCATCCGTTGAGAGAGCTGCAGAAGTAGGAAGTAATATTTTAAGAATGATAATTGCTATGGAACAAAGCATAAAACGATCTGTTCCATAATTTTTCAATCTGGCGTCCAATTAATCACGAATTCCAAGCACAATTAATTTTCTTAATGAGCATCAGACATGTATCGGTCCCGTGCTAGTTTCGATTAACCCTTTCAAACAGATGCCGTATTTCGGAGAGAGGGAGATAGAAATTTATCAAGGAGCGGTAAGTTAAAGCAATATTTACCGGTAATTTAAAGCAATTAAGTATTTACACGTATTCTTGGTTTTAGGCGCCGTACGAAAATCCTCCGCACGTATATGGTTTGGCTGATGAGATGTACAGAAATATGTTAATCGATAACGAAAGCCAATGCGTTATCATCAGGTATTAAATATTTCATGGTTATCGTGATATATTATCAACCTTTTCCTTTAACAAACTTTATTTTATGATAGTATTACGATGCTTTTATGTTATCGTTTATAGCGGAGAATCCGGTGCTGGGAAAACGGTAACTGCCAAATATATAATGTCTTATATCGCGAGAGTCAGCGGCGGCGGTGATAGGGTGCAAAAAGTGAAGGATGTGATTTTGGAATCAAATTCACTGTTAGAGGCCTTTGGCAATGCGAAAACTGTGCGAAACAATAACAGTAGTAGATTCGTAAGTACCGATATATACACAGTTAATTTATAAATAATTTTCTAAATAATAATAATATCTTTTAAATATTTATAATGACTGTTTAATAATTACTATAATAATCATTTTATTACTTAATTTTAGGGAAAATATGTACAAATGCAATTCGGCCGTGGTGGTCAGCCAAGCGGTGGGAAAATTTCAAATTTTCTCTTGGAAAAGTCGAGGGTTATATGTCACAATTTTGGCGAGAGAAACTTTCATGTGTTCTATCAATTGGTAACTGGTGCAAACCAACAAATGAAATGTAAATATCAATTGGTAATTATATTTACGTAATTTTAATACATTACCTCTTCTTCTAGTATGTGTAAACACTTCAAAGTAATTTCATATTGATTTCTTATAATTAGTTGCTGAATTCTTTTAGTTCGAACTTTAAATATAAAATTAACACGAATTTCATTAAAAATAGTACATTATAATACAATCTCCGATTTTAGTATATATTTTATACTTTGTTTTACAGCTGAATTTGGATTAACGGATCTCGATTATTACCAGTACCTCAGTTATGGTGGGAATCATAGGGTTGAGGGTGTATCCGACGCTCATGAATTTCAAGAAACGTTAAAAGGTATTAATGCATTTAACACCGAATAATAAATATAATTGAAAATCTGATTTTGCAATATTGTTTCTGTTGAAACACAATTTGTTAAGATTACAAAGACCTGAGAAATGCTCAAATAAAAACCTTTTCCCCTGATTTTTCTTTCTAGGATTAAGTGTAATGGGAATAAGTGATTCAGAAGTAACCGATATCTTTAGAATAGTTGCTGGAATACTTCACGTGGGGAATATTCAGTTTATGGAAAAGGAAAATTATTCTCAAGTTGCTAACAAACAATGTAAGTATTCTTACGTTAAAACATTGATTTTGTGAACAATAGTTTTCTTTGTTAAATACGTACACGTTACCGGCGAATGGTACCCCATTTCACAACTAATGGCGTAGAAAAAATTTGTTTTAAAAACTTTAACATACATTAAAATAGTGGTGTAACAGTTTCCAGAGTCTATATAATTATGCATAATTATATGTAATTACAAGTAATTATAAATAATTACAAACAATTATACACGATTATAAGTAGCGTATACCTTCCAAAGGAAAATATAATTTATGAATGAAATTAAATATAAAATAAAGATTTTATTGCAATTCGATTTACATTACTCTGTATGGTATAAATGCATAAAATCCAGAATTTAGTAGTTGAATTTCCAGATATGTATATTTTGTTCATTCCGTTTCTTTCTCAATTGCCTTGTCCCCTTATTCCTCTTGAGTCATGAGTAAGCCGGTGAGAAATCGTGGGAGCGAGTCGTGATTCCATCACAATTATGAAGAAGGCCAGTTTCTAGAAACTAAAATGTTTTATACAGTCCAGCGCCATAACGCCTTCGGGGTCAAAATACGATTGTAATGTCTTGCATAACATCTGCTTTGCAATTTGTTCTTCATATATGACCATTACTGAAATGGTATCATAAAAAAACAAACACGATATTACAAGGCAAGAGGTTGACATTAAAAGACATTACAATTCAACCATGAATATTTGATAGAGTTTATTGTTTTCATAAACTACGAACGTTTATGCAAATTTTCAATTTTTCATATCTAAATTTTCATTTTAGTGTCGCTTGCGGATTGGTGAATAAATTGTCTTGTATTTACAAAAATGTTCTTTTATATATTATCTTTGACTATTGATTTAATATGTACTATGATATATCATGCTAGAAATGACGATAATTAGAGAAATATACGAAGCAAAGTTGAAATAATCATTTGTTAACTTTCAACCACCCTTTTAAAAAAATTACAGGAAAAATGAATCTCAGTTTGATTCGAAGAACATTCTAGGGCCTAATGAAGGTTAATATATTTCAGGTCTCGAGTATCCAGCATTCTTGCTTGAAATAGCAACGGATCAACTGGCTCACAAATTAACATCCCGAGAATTTGAGTCGAAATGGGGAGGTCAGTCGGAAAGCGTCGATGTCACTTTAAATGTAGAACAAGCTCTTTACACTCGAGACGCATTGGCAAAGGATATTTACGCTAGACTATTTGATTATTTGGTGAAAGTAAGTACAAATATATTTTTATTGTTTCTTAATCAATTATTATTTCCATAAATTAGTTTACTTATTATTATAAGGAATATTAAGATTCATTATAAAAGTGTTATACAATATTTTACATTCAATTGATTTAAATATTTTATAATTACTTCTTCATTTATAACTTTAGACCATTTTAATTTGTTACAGAAAGTTAATGCAGCTATGGAAACTACTTCGGACGGCCTTGAAATTGGAATTTTGGATATCTACGGCTTCGAAATCTTTGAAAAAAACGGTTTCGAACAGTTTTGTATAAATTTTGTGAACGAGAAGTTACAGCAAATCTTTATAGAACTCACCTTAAAGGCTGAACAGGTAAGTACATATTTTTACTTTAAACAATTTTGTTTCAACAGAAAAACGTGTTAACATTTCAAGTAGAAATGATAAAAACCATTATGAATCAATATTTTAAAAACAACACATATTTATTTAATTACAATTTACATTCAAGTTCGAATATTAAAAATATGTTCACTTCTTAGTATGTTTTAAACGTTTGTACTGTTTATAAATTAACCGCTAATATCTTAAGTAAAAGATTTGCATTATGTGTAAGAACATGGGCACGCTTTTTTCTGGCCATAATAATCAACATATAAGAACTTGATGAATATTTAATATTCGTTTATGCAGCAATTCTGATCACAGAATTATAGACAGAAACATTCATCAATAAATAAAGAAAAGTCAGTATATTACATACCTTTTTATAGAAATCAGAGTGAGATAATAATTTCTCGCGAAATCTATACATAATTTAACATTCTATTGCACTTCAATCAAATTTTATTAATCAACATAAAATTACCTACACTTCCCAAGGAAACAAATATATCAGTAAAAACCAGAACTCTTATAAATATATTTCTAAATTTCAAATTAATATTTACAGAACACTCATTTATAATCTTATTATTGATTCCTTTATTCATAAGTCATTCCCGCCATTATCATAAGTAAATTATTACAAACTTCACATTCCAGTTGACCTCAGAACATGCAAATGCAATTGCACATAAAAATTTTGCTACAGATCCACCTTAACACTATTTCTACCGAAGGTATCAAAAGACGTCTTTTGAAATTTTCACTTAAAATTATTTTCCCAGTTAAATCACTTGTCCTCAATTGAATTTTGGACATTTCCTATAATTAATTTTATAACCGTTACTGAAAAAGTCAAATAGCCACTTCAGAATATACGACTAAACTTGGAAAATAATTTTAATTTAAAAATTCGAATCGAAAAAAGTAGAAATACTGTCAACCCATCATCCATTTAAAAAATAAAACATGGTAGCTTCGTAAGAATCATTTCAAATATAAACATTTTCCATTGAAACATCGTCAAAATGCATTAGCTGGTAGAATCGCCCAACATCCAGCGTAAATTACATAACTATTATCGCCACAGATCTCGTAATCAGTGATGCAGAGTTAAACCGGCCAACATCCTTAGGCAGGGATTGAACTTGGTCCCATTAATCGTTCCACGCACTGTTTCGACCTCATAGAACTGAGGCATTCGGCGTAATTAATCTTCGTCGCTCGAGTTCACGGTATCAATCATCGGGGAAGCTGTATCCTGGCAATATGTCCGTTCTCCTCAAAGCGTATCTCTGAACGGGCGTAGTTTGTGTCATTAAATTTCTGCTGGGTACCTTAGACGGCGGTGCAGGTATTTGCTTGGGCAGTTCGCTGGACGTTACCATTGAATTTTCGGTGGTGGAATCGTCGGCACCGTAAATCGAGGCTAATCTGCTCAGCTTTTTCTTCTCGGTGATCCGCGAATGATTCTTCCTGCTGTGATCGATACCGATTCGACGATCGAACTTCTTCGGTAGCCGACCCTTCTTGTTGTGCAGGGATCTCCAGTCTGCTTGCCTTTGGAGGTACGGTGTCACGCGAAGGAATTCCATGGATTCGTCGCCGGATGTCGTCCTCGTGGTCGGTTCCTTCCGAAAGGAACCACTGTGACCTCTCACGTTCACGTAGACCTTCGGTCTGCTGTTCTTCAAGTAATACAGCTTCTCGTTGTAATTCTGGAGTTTCGGTGGTTCCATTAGCACGTGCTTCTCCTCGTCGAACATCTTCAACTTGAAATTCGGCGCCAAACCGAAGTCTCGGACTCCGAAGATCGAATGCGGTATGACTTCTGGGTTCGGGTAGCTGTCGTTGCGGATCTGCTCGGGCGGCTTTAGCATCGCGTGCACGATGCTTTGGAGGTTCGTTGGGTCTAGGTCGTCTCGGCTTTGTAACTCGATTTCTAGGAAACTGAAACGGATATGTGATTCTGTTAATGCAATTCAGGAAGTATTTGTTTTATGTGTTATTTGTTATTCGATTTATTACACCGAACAAGCTGGAAAATATGCTTTTACTAATGACATTAATGAAATATTTATTATTTCATTTATTAGATATATTGAAAATATAGGAAACGAAAATACGTTTATAGTAGAAAAAGTGTTAAAGATTTGCTTGGTTTTAACTTAACTCTTTGCTCTCGACAATATTTTTCATTGAAGATATTCATTACTTTCTGACTAAATATTAACGATATCCTTCGCAACTAACACAATTGATTATCCTCTATAAATTAAGAGACAGAACTATTTTACTTCGATGTTTTATGTGTTGTTACGTTGCACTAGATTTAATATTGAATTGAAGTGGGGTTAATACTATTAAATTCAAAAATTTGAGATGTAAAATTATACTACGGACCTTTATTTAAATTGAAGTTTCATAAAATTACGGATATAGAATAGTTTCTCTTAACAAATATTACAGGAAACACAGCACTCAAGATGTTTCTTATATTTTCTCGTATCGTGTGCATTCTGTGCAGTTTTCCATCTTCAAAATTCCCATGAGTGCACGAAGATTCGCGGTCTATTCATAATTATAGAAGGTGACAGTTATGTTACCTGTAATCATTGGTGTTCGGTCTTTCGACATTCGAGCTTTGTAGGAAACTCTGGAGGGATTTGCCCTCGTATATCTTCCTGTCGCTCAATCCTTGATCCTGTGGTATATGATTCGGTGAAGACGGCGGCCTTGGGAGAACCATCGCCGAGAATGATGGATACGTGAGCAGAAAAAGTACGATAGCTGCATAATAGTTTTCGGCTCCTAACATTCTGAAAATTGATATCGTATTACAACTCCGAAATTACGAAAGTGTTCGCGTAAAAAATATTTCTTGTTAACACAGAAAATTAAATTGTGCGGATTTTCAGTGAGATCCACTTATATCACTATAAAAAAACACTCAGGTATAATATTGTTATATTATGTATTTTAAATGGACAATTAATTCTAATCAAATGTAATATTTCCTTAAATGCTGTGGTAATTATCAAAGTTATACATGTTAAAATATAGCATTGCAGTGTGTTAAAATCGATTCTTAAATAACTATGTCTTCATGAGTTCAGTAAGAAGATACTAATAGAATACTAATAAATTTTTTAGATTCCCGTTGCAAATTAAAAATTATAATTTCTATGCACTTCTATAAATTATAATTACAATAGACTTGATTTTACATGGTAAATTATAAAATCTTACAGCAGTTTAAAATTTTCTAAATTATCTTGTATAATTCAAGATATAAACAGAAACATACATTTTCTTTTAGTATAAATTGAAAAAAATAGAAATTCCCAATTCTGATTAGTGCATTTATTACCATCGACTGCATATTTGTATTTGTTACAAATGGACTGTGCGTTTTATATATCTAATACAATCTTAACCGTATAAATTCAGTTTAATGAAACCTTTACTTCATTCGAACTTAACACATTGCATACCGGAAACGAGAAATCTCGCTTTTATTTAAACCTATCGTTGTAATTTTGCGAACTACCACACCATTTAAGGAAATATTAAACTTTATTAGAACTGATTACTTGCTTAATACTTATGAAATAATAAATATTTGAATGTTTTTCATATAGTGATGCATCACGAACCTATAAGTTGATCCCACTGAGAAATCGACCAGTTTTCTAAGAATTAACCGGTACGCAACGTGTTAGTAACATTTTGACCAGAATAAAGAAATTCGTATTCGATCCCAGTTCTTCCAAACGAACGAACAGAAATGTATATTTGGCATAAAGATCGGTAGTTCAGCGATATATGCATGAATGTGAATATGTAAACGATACGAATACATAAATAAAATACGCGGTCTAGTTCCACATATGTGCAATTCAGAACGCGGAGTTTCACCATCGAAGACAATATGGCGATATCAGACGGAATCTCGACGCAGGTTTTCTTCGGAAACACAGTGTACAGCCGTTAAATGTTTCGATTCCGTTCCCGGGGAAAAATTCGAAGGTGTGCAGGGCGGCGTTCGAGAGAGGTATTGTTCCTTTCGTAAAAGGAAACACGTAAGCGTCGAAAAACAGGATAAACTTAACGTTCCTGGTCAGCCGCATAGAACAGCACGTAACGAGCGCGTTATAATAAACGCAGTGAAAGTTTTGCCTGCTCGCACGACCAGCCTGGAGGAACAAAATGATACAATTTCTCTTGTTTCACTTATATAAGCCGCGCGGCGAATTAGTATGCATACCTCTTGTAATCGAACAAGCGACGTGGCTAATAAAATAATTAACCGTAATTACGAGAGGAACGCGTCGGGGCCGTTAACTAACATTTTAAAGTCCTCTTCAGAGAACTCGCTGCCGGTGTAATTACGCGTGTTCCTTTGTTTCGGCGCGTTCAAATCGTACTATTATTTCTTTGCCGGCGATTGCGCCTGGGGAATACGTTAAATACTTTATTTCCGCGCGCGATTATTCCGGGCAGAAGCATTTATTCGAACGTATGATTAAATGTACGCGGTGAAGTCATTACGAGGAGTATTATCGAACAACAAACGTTCATTCCTTTGCACCCGAAAGTTTTTCATTATATAGAGATACTCAGTATTTCGGGATTAGATATAGAGAAGATCCTTCGACAGAAACTAATGATAAAACAGGCAAATTAACACTAGAACTATTGTACCAATTAAAATGACTTATTTTGCTTCTTTTGTTTCGCAATTATCGATATTTTGAAAGCATTGAATATTCGAAATTATTGAGAATAAATAGTTTCATTTGAATACTATAATGAATGTCTGAAGAACCCGAATAATCTATTGTTACAATTTTTGTAGGGGTTACATATTAATCGTATTAAATACTCGGTAGTTCTAGTATTAAGAAACAAAGCTATTTTATTTCATTGTTTCATATAATTGATATTACATATAAAACTTCATAATTTTGCTGTATCAAATCTAGAGGTGAGTGAGTTTTTTGTGAGATAATATACATGTTCCTAATGATAGTGTAAAATATTAGGACTAATTACTCAATAGTTTTGGAAATTGCAATAATATTTACGTATCTTTTAGTTATATTATAATTCTGGACAATAGTAATTGAAATATTTTTGGACAAATGGACTTGTTATTTACTTCGTAACTCGAAGATCGATTCGAGACCCAATATTACTTACTGTACATTTGATATTTTATTTTCTATAATTTCACCTTTATTCTTATTTTAAACGTTATTTTCTGCACTGGTATTTCTTCACTGTTATGTCCTGTATAAAAGCAAACTGATTAACGTTGCAAAACGTATCCTGTAAGGAAGCACATTTCGAAACATACCATGCATATGTTATCATTTTTTATTAAATGGATACATGTAACTGGTTTGTATCGCATATGCTTGGTATGCTTCAAAATTTATTTCCATGCAGGATATATTTTGTAACGTGAATCAGATGGCTCTTTCGCAAAACAAAGTGAGAAATTTTAGTCCCGAAATTCAGCAGTTGTCACATGTTCGTCGTGTCGACATTTTTTATGCTTCGCGTGTGTTTTCGATAATTATCGTCCAACAGTATTTATTGCGTATTCTTCGTAGTGACAAAAATTAATGAGTGAAAAAACGCAGCAGTCGATCAGTTGACCAAAAAGATTTCTAGTACAATCATTTACAATTAGGATATGTCTGAAAGATACGTAACTTTAATTGCTCATCTCAAAAATGATTAGCCAATTGCACCTAATATTTTAGATATATTATTAAAATCATGTGTATTATGATCTCACGAAAAACTATCAAGATCAAAGTCGAACAATTAGTTATTAACCGCAATTAATAGTTTTTTAACGCTAGATTTGCGGAGATTTATTCTGTACTTTATTCTATTGTTCCAAGAAAAGTATATGTTTGTTTATATAGATCCCGGAAATGAGTGTCTCAAGAACAGGAGATTACAATGGGTATTCGCAAAATTGCATCAATGAAAATCGAGCTAAATTGTTACGAAATAATGTTTAAACAGTTCAATATCCATCAAATTGACGGGTCCCGTAAATCTATTGTTAATATGCTATAAATAGTTCATCGTGTTTCTAACACTCCCGATAAGAGTTCGAAACTAATTAACCCTTTGAACTCTGTAGGCTCCAATATTGCACCAGTTATAATATCAAACATTTTAATGAATCAAAGAAACTACCCTCAAATAATTAGATTTTCCACGCATCCAAATTTTGTACTGAGAAGGAAAATAAAAGATCGAAGGAATGTTATAGCATTTCTCATTTTCACTAGAGATGCCATAAAAATTAGTTGCAGTTGCTGATAAATTACAAAACCATCTGGAGTGCTAAGGGTGAAAATTCAGTTCTAAAACGATCGTAACACTGAAACTACCGAGCAGTTAAATCGACTTTTCGAGATTCCTCTATAGAAACTTCAAGAGTGTATCTATCGAGACTTCGGTTAATTTATAATTCAGTTTACGTATCGTTAATCAATTTCTTTAATAATTTCTCGGGGAAGCACCTATTATCTTTTTAACAATTGCGGCATGAGGCAATTACGAAAAAGATGGGAAACGAGCGAAAATATTTTCCGCGGTCCGGTTTATAAAAAGAAGTCGACGAATGGTTATTGCAACGAAAGTTTCTTTGTAACATGTTACATGAAATGATGGCGTGTCCACTTTTTTCCGGAATATCCAATATATTTTTACGACGGCTTAAAGCAATTACGAGTAATTCGAAATAAATTATGAAGACAATCGTAACGCGGCGATATGAAATATAACTACTCGAGTGTCGAATTAGTTCGGGATTATTACTGCATTTTAGTTCCGTGAAGAAATAGCGCTGGCTCGATATTTCATTTGTAATGAACTGGAATATGCAGAACACTGCGGGAATGGATTATTAAAGTCTCGAGATTCTTGTTGTAGCAAATCTCATTAAGAGGGAACGAACTTTTTATTCGGATTCGTTAGAGACGTCCAAGACGCGAACTTAACATCGTTTAATATCGTTTCTCTGTCCCTCTGAGTTGGTTAAAATGTAATTGATCCGTTCCAAAATATTTATTTCTCTTGATATAGTTTATTAAATAATTATCAAGTTATGACAATTGAATAATGTTTATTTAAGAAAATACTTAAGGATTGAGTCAGGATTTAATTAGGGTTCTACATTTCTGTGACTCGAACCGTAGGTATGTGGTTTTATATTGAGGTCTACGAACATTTTTCAACGTTTTATATTTCTAATTTAAATAATGGCGCTCATTGTCGATTGACCGTGTTGCAACTGTTTACGGTTCAATTAGTTAATGCGGAATTAAGATTTAATCGCATGTTATTTCTGGTAAATTGACTCCAACACCAATTACTTTCTCGTTTGAAAATGAAACATAAGCGAAGGTGATAAAAGATTTATAACCTTGTTGGATTTGTTAGTGATATTCTCGAAACACGAGTCTAGTGGTTTCTTTCTAATATTTTACAATATTTATGAATTATCCATTGAATAGAAATTTTTCATCAGATTTCTCAACGAAATTCTGTCAAGCTTTTACATTAAAAATAATGCGTTCATCGTCATTTTAAATATTTATTCAATTTTCAAGTTCCATCAATCTTTCACATTAAAAATAATACTTTCAATAGATTCTATTCTCAAATTTAATTCTTCTCGATATTTATTTAACTTTCTAACATTTATGTATAAATAATTACTCTTCAACGCACAGGTAAACATTTTAAACTTTTATTGCCTTTTCTAAAGTTTTAAACTAATTGTTTCAAC